AGCGGAGACGAAGACGATCAAGATGATTTTTTTAAAAAAAATTTAAATTTAAAATATAAAAAGTACGAGAATATTATTTTAGATAATTATTAAAAAAAATATATAATGTAAAGTTTTTTAAAAAATATAGTACTTAAAGTTGCTTAAAAAAATAAGCAAACTGCTCTAGAATTTCTATGTAGTTTTATTTTAGCTAAATTTTTTAAAATAATTTTAATTAGATAACGTGGAAAAAAATCATGATATGGGATCCAATTTTCAAAGATGGACCCATCACTCTGTTTGTCACTTAAACATGAAGTACGTGTTTGACCTTTTGTCACATTTTTCATCTTCACTTTCACATATGTTAATAATTGTCCGATTCATTTCGTTACAAAACTGACTTTATAAATTATTATAGTTTTATAATTTTTAACGTGGATGTTCTATTGAAGTGGAATTAGACTTTGTATTCATATTAGTTAGTAATATCATAGTCTATATTTTTTTTTATTTTTGTGGATATACATATCTTTCTCGGTTCTTTCTAAATACGGAATAACGAACAAGTTGATATATACGAGCCGTATGCGATTACAAGTAAAAGATGAATTAACACAAAACATGATGAGGACAAATTAATATGTTGTAAACATGTATATATAAAATAATTTTTATTACTAGACTTAGGGTTGGTATAATTAATATCACATAATATCTTATTTTATATCGAAAATTAGAGGTGGACGTTTCGGTATTCGGTTCGAAAATCCTTCGGTCTGCTTTTTTCGGTTTTATAAAAACATGTACCAATCGGTTAATATTTTATATTCGATTCGGTTCGATTTCATTTCCGGTTCCGTTTGATTTCGTTTTTTATTAAAAACTTAGATCTTTTTAAAAAATTGATTTTTTTAAAATTTCGCTTTTGGTTCGATTCGGTTTCGGAAAATTCGATTTTCTAAAAAAACACCGTTCAGACATTTTTATTGATTAGGTTTAAAAAATATCATATTTTTTGGTTCGATACGATTCGGTTCTGAAATACCGTAATAAAAAGAATTGGTTTTAGTTACACCGATACTCCCTAGCAAATGTAGGAGAAATTTATAGGTAATTTTAATAGAAAAGGGTTGACTTTGATTGATGAATAGAATCGTCGTGTGATTTGTTTCAATTTGTCCGACCCAATTGACTTTTGAATTCCCTTTTCACATTTTTTTTTTCCATTTTGTTGGTTACTTTGCCATTTCATTTTTATTTCCTTTTCCCATATGTATTAATATTTTCTATCATCTCTCCAAGTTTATAGTTATCTTTTGTGATTTTGATTGTTTTATTAAAATTTCGTTTAAACCAACAATAATTAATAAAGTTCCTTACTTTTATTTCGAAATATGAAAAAAAGGGAGAGTGATGTAACTTGTAGAAGAAAGTAATAAATAATATGACCTAATCCAATCGTTGGGTTGCTATAAAATCGCCATCGAAATAAAGAAATTAAGAACATGTAGAGAGAGAGAGAGAGGTTGTTAATGGCTGTTCTTGCTTGGTCCTTCCTCTCCGTTTCTCTCCTTCTTCCTTGACCTTTCTCAACCAAAATCAAAACCCAGAAGAAGAAGAAGAAATTGGGAGAGACAAAGAAGAAAGAAAGAGGAAAAGTTTTCTTTTTCTATCAAATCCAAAAAGGGCAAAGGCTAATCTGTATAGATCAGAGAGAGAGAGAGAGAGAGAGAGAGAGAGAGAAGTGAGCAGTTCTTGTCCAAATGGGGAACTGTTGCTGCTATGGTTCCTCCACAGTTCAACATCAGAGCCCTGAAACCACCAAACCTCTCCCAGGTACATACATACATACATACATGCATAGCCCAACTCATATGATTACGTATTCTTTACGTATACCCTTTATGGCTAAATCATGATTCTATGTTCTTGGAAAACAATCATCAGTATATATTCTTGGCAAAGATCGAATCTTTCCATTTCTTTCTGCACTGTTTTTCTCTGTTGAAGATCCGATTCCACACGCATATGATTATACTTCTTCAAGAAATCTAACGGATATAGAATATACGTACAGCTGCGATCCGCAGGCAGAGCCCCGAGAACGTGAAATCTCCGCCGCCTCCGGTGACAATAAAGACTCCGACCAGAGAAAAACCTAAGATTCCGGCGACTAGACCCGTCAACCATCCATCTCCGCCGCGGACACCCGTGACAATAAAGACTCCGACCAGAGAAAAACCTAAGATTCCGGCGACTAGACCCGTCAACCATCCCTCGCCGCAGCCACCGCCTCCGCAGAAGTCGCCGGAAAAAGGGCAGGCGAAGAGAACAATCGATCATCCAGCGTCGCCGGGAACAGTTCCGGCGAGTGGGAAGATAGTGACGCCGGACCTGAAGATGTTCACGTTGGCGGAGCTGAGGACGGCGACGAGGAATTTCCGACCGGACTCGATGATCGGAGAAGGAGGGTTTGGTCGTGTCTTCAAAGGATGGGTCGACGACAAGACTCTTTCTCCGTCGAAGGTTGGCGTCGGAATTCCCGTCGCCGTTAAGAAGTCAAACCCTGACAGCAGCCAAGGGTTGCATGAATGGCAGGCAAGTAATTTTCGTCATTTCCTTCTTTATTCTATTTAAATTTTCATTTATTTTGATAACCATGGTCTAATTTACAAAAAAAAACTGATTTTGATTAATAACGAATACACAAGCCGTGAGCTAAGAAAGGGTTTAGAAAGAACTTGTTAATTGCTAACCAATTATTTCAATAATAGGAACTAACCATAGAGATCTGCTTGCGTTTTATTATTATTATTATTATTATTATTATTATTATTATTATCATTATTATTATTATTATTATTATTATTATTATTATTATTATTATTATTATCCTCTATCTACGGAAACAATGTAGGTTAAACATTGTAATTATACAAAATTTTATAAGAACAGTACATAATCTTATGCAAATACATTATGTTAACTATATATATACAAAACTTTTTGTTGACAGAATATAAAAAGAAATCCAAATATTTTGAGATACTATTCGATATGAAATGGTTGCAAGTACATTCCATATTAGTTTAGGGACCAAACTAAGATCATAGAAAACTTTTTCAAGAAAAAAATTATCATACACATATAAGTATATAATTAATTTAATCAATTTCTATCTCTTTTTGGAATCCATTTGGCAAATTCTTGTGTGTGAAAACTCATTCAGGATATTCTTTTTCGGTAACCGAAGTCATTTAGAATATTCATTATTCCATACACTGCATTTTCTTTTTATTATTTATTGGGTGAAGTCTTTTCTAATAACGGTCAACCATAAATTTATGTATATTTTACAATATTTTGTTTTGAATTATTTATTTTTCCGATACACGGCAAAAGGTTTTGTCTTTTTCTATTTTAGAATATCCAGCTCGTGCTACAGCATTACATTGAATGTTTTTTTAAAAAAAATATTAAATTTGACCAACTGTTGATAGGAAATTGCATAATAAAAAACATAAAATAAACACCAATAATTTCCCCAACCAAAAAAACAAAAATCAATGTATGACCCAACGGGATCACGTCGCGTTGACTTTTGACCTTGAAATTGAATGATACGTTGCTTCCACGCATATCTAACCTATCCATCAACGGCCCCAATCATGTGAATATTTATACATGGTGCGTTAGTTAAATCCTCGATTTAACATTAATCCGCTAATTTTTATAATTAAAAAAATCCCATATAAGATTCACTGATATGTTCCAAATTAATATAAAAAAGTTTCAATTTCTCATAATATTTATATTAATATAAAACTATATATTTCTGAAGTTTTAATCGGTCCATATAACTATATGAACGATACAAACACATATATAGTCGAATTCAATAGTTTTTTATTTAAATAAAAATATATATGATATCTATTATTAATGGACTACGAGCAATGCATATATTACACACATCACAAAGAAAAACTGGCGTTGTGTAGTTGATACGTGACTAACACGGTTATTAATCAACGTCGTATTATATTTTCATTTTGTAATGTCGAATTCCATCATAAGAATCTGAAATACGTTCTCACCATCAAAGATTGCGTATAAATCGGTTGAAATTTTTAAAAAAAAAATTCCAAATGCTTATTTGATTTTTTTACATTTATATATTATTATTCAAAAATCAAAATTATATATGAACTTATACCCATTAGTTGAAGAATTTTCTCTTTTTTTCTTTTTTTTTTTTTTCAATCAACCTAACCCAAGATTTTTGTAACTAAAAACCCCATCCTCTTCCATAATAAAAGAAATGGTGTGAACTAGGGTTTGGGGTTTGATAAACGGAGGAAGCTAGACCGAAATTCAATTATGAACAAACCAACGTCATTATTCGTATATTTACATTTCGTTACATGCACAATATTGATATTAATTAGCTTAACCATATTCTTGCATATAGGCTTTGATATATATATGTATCATCAATGTGTTTAATTGTTAGAGTTATGTGAAATGTGTGTGAGCAGTGTGAAGTGAGATTCTTGGGGAAGTTCCATCATCCAAACTTGGTGAAGCTTTTGGGTTATTGTTGGGAAGATAACCAGTTCCTCTTGGTCTATGAGTACATGCCCAAAGGCAGCCTCGAAAACCACCTCTTCGCCAGTAAGATTTTTACGTCTTTTTTAATCCGTTCATTCGGAAAAAAAAATAACAGATCGAAAACCCGTTTTTACAAAGAATAGAACCGTTATTTTGATAAACGAAAAAGACTATCTCTTTCACTTATCCACACAATCGAAAAATGTCACAAGATCAAAGATCATTTACATTATACATATAAGTATGTATGTGTGTATATATATATTGCAGAGGGAGCAGAGCCATTGACATGGAGCACAAGGCTGAAGATAGCCATTGGAGCAGCTGAAGGGCTTGCCTTCTTACACAACTCAGAGAAGAGTGTTATCTATAGAGACTTCAAAGCCTCTAACATTCTCCTTGACTCGGTGGGTTTTGTTCGGGGTTCTTTTTTTTTTTGTTATTTTGTAACTGCGTGCCGTTTCTTTATTCTTATTCTGACTTGGTTGCCGTTTTATCAGAACTTCCACGCCAAGCTTTCCGACTTTGGGCTGGCGAAACTGGGCCCAATTAATGGCCACTCGCACGTCACCACACGTGTCATGGGCACATACGGATACGCAGCTCCCGAGTACATGGCCACAGGTAAATTAACAGAAATATTCCACGTCAGCAAATTATGTTAAAAGCCTAGATAGTGATAGCGTTTTTTTCTTGTCAGCTTAAACAAAACCGGTCTTAATTAAATTAATTAATATATAATCGTATTCTAATATATAAAAATTGAATGATTATAAATTTTTTAAAACCGAAATAATTTGAACTAAAAATGATGTAAAGACCAAACAAAATAGGAAATGCTTTTTAAAGTAAATTTTTTTTAATGTTTAATAAATTTAATCCGAGTTCAACAGAAAATACCCTAAAAATTAAAATACTAAACACGAAAATAAATGAACCGAACTGAAACACTAAATATCTATCTCTAACAAATATAAACAATATTTTTTTTACCAAAAAAATATATATACAATAAATTTATAATCAAACCTTGAAGCGATGTGTATTAATATATATGCAGGTCATCTATATGTAAGAAGCGATGTATATGGATTTGGGGTGGTATTACTAGAGCTCTTAACCGGACTGAGAGCCCTAGACCCGACTCGGCCTTCGGCTCAGCACAACCTGGTCGAGTGGGCTAAACCGTGTCTAACCGACAAGAAAAAACTCAAGAAAATAATGGACCCACGGCTCGACCGCAAGTACCCTGTCTCGGCCGTGGTCCAGACCGCGGCTCTCATCCTCCGGTGCATAGAGGCCGATCCCAAGAACCGCCCCTCCATGGACGAGGTACTCAAAGAGCTGCGTGCGATTAGGGTTATTAGGGATGAGCCAAAGGGTAGTCATACACGTGGCAGCGACAAGAACCGGCGCACCGGTTCTCCGTACGGTCTGACGGGCGGTCGGACCGGATAGTGGAGTCGCTTGGACCATATGCATGATGCATATACATATACATATACATAAATTGATATAATAATGCAATTTATTTTGTTTTTTAGTATTTTGTTGTTGTGACAAAAAAAAAATCTCTTTGCTTTTTTTCCGTACATTTTATAGTTCACGTAGGGTGCGGAAACAAAGAAATAAGAGATCATGTATTTTTATTATATTTTTGCAACGAGAGAATCTGTATTTTTTAGATATAATTAATTTCTAGATCCATTTATATTTTTTACGTTAAGGTATTTGAGTCGAAATTTTTCTATAATTGTCAAAGAAATCAAAATAAATATTTTATTTTATTTTATTGAGATTTCATATATAACCTAAACAAATAGAATAAATTTTCACTTTTAAAAGTTGCCTATATATAATTTTTATATTGTTGCAATTTGTAATACATATCAATAGAGTAAACAAAGCGTTTGGTATAGTGTGAAAGAATTAGTGATTGTAAGCTTTATATTAGCGTAGTTAACTTAAATAATTAGTGATTGTAAGCTTTCTTTCTAAAATATTAAAACAAATATTCATTACCTTATAAAATAATGATATTTCAATGTATAGAAAAAGGAATGATTTTCTAAAATAATTGAGTTAAAAAGATTGTGATAAATTTTTTATTTGTTTTTTTTACGTGTATAGAAAATTAAGGTAACAAATGGATCATAATGTTAAAAAAATGTTAACAAATGACATAAAAGCCAATCAATATTAAAAACTCATACAATCTTGAAAATTAAATTATAATCAGTTTTGAAAAGTAAGTATAACTAATTATAATTAATTTTTTTAATAGAATTACGATGAAACACACTCTCAAATATAGGAATTCCATAGAAAGATAAATGGATAATTTCTTGAAACAATGTACATATTTATATATGTGTATCTACATTTGCAAAACATAGTCAATTGGAGAAGACAATACATACACGTCTAAAGAAAATGTTTATAATCCCCGAACTTCAAGTTCTACTTGAAGAGGACCCTCTCTCTACATGTTCTTTCTGGCGCTCTTCAGTCTTCACAACAAAACCCTATAGACAACCTTAAAAACCTTAAAAAAAAACCTGTCTCATGTTCTTCTCCTTCCCTCCTCTGCATTCATTCCCTAACATGTCCGGAAATGAAGCTTTTCGACATGGTTCTTGCTCAACCGCGCAAGAAAACAGCAACCCTTTTCACCAAAGAACACAGTTTAATCAAGAACATCGAAAAGGTCTTTCCTTTTTTCACTGTCACTGCCATTCGTTTACCGGGTAAAGGAAGAAATGCTTGCTTTAGTGTGTCATAAATGGCATCTGCTGGCTGAAGAACGTTCGGGTAAATGGTGGGAAGAGACTTGAAGCAGAAGCTTGATCGTATGGCTCGGAGAAGATCTGCAGACGTCTATGCACTCCTCTACATCAGCATCGCACGTCAGTAAGACCCATTCGTTATCGTCATCCAAGTACTTGAGGTCGTATCTGGTCACATCTTCCATGTTAAACCGCTTTGCGATTTCCCACAATAGATCTTTTAACCTACAAGAGTTTCTCATGCGGAACCGGATCTTCTCGTCTTCATATGTGACCTTTATCCTCAGAAAATCATCCTCTTGGGATGACGGTAAGTGGGCACTGTGCGTTTCTGGGAACCGTGAAAGATTTTCGAAACTAGGGTTTTCCTTGAAAGACTTATGGCTCTGAAACCTGGAGAGGGTCTGTGTCTCTTCTAGACACGAACTGTGAAACTCGGCTTCACTTCTCGTTTTTTTCATAGCACCTCCATCGACTAAGCTGTTCTCCCCGATGGCAGGATCTTCTGCAGTGACAGATTTATGGAACGTCGGAGCGTTGTTAAGTTGTGTTTCACTGGAACAGCACTGGCTAGAGCTCGAACTCTGAGTGCAGGAGGAGGAAGGAGATTTCACACGGCTTTCGTGCTGTAAAGCCGAAGGAGCAGGGTCTGCTGGCTGGAATGTCTTGGCTTGTGAGGCTTTTGGTGAGGCCATGCTTGGGAAGTTCGCGTAGAAAGAGCCAATGGGCAGAGGACCGGACACTCCTTGAACCGAGTCAATTACCCGTTGGATTTTCTGCAAAGAATGACCAACTTTCTTGATCTTTCTAGAAGGCCACCTCTGTATCCCGTGTTGCCGGCATATTCTCTTCAACGTCGTCGGGCAAACTGAAAATTTCCAAGAAAACAAAGGTAAGACCAACAAGCACATGAAACAGCGAAAGAGCTTTCTTGATCCAGCCAAGACCAGTAAAAGATCCAAGTGCTCAAGAAAAGATCCGGTCTTTCAAAGTAACAAATTTAAGAATATATTAGTACCCAGATGATAGAAATTGAACAGATATATACATATGTGTATGTGTATGTGTATGTGTATGTGTATGTGTGTGGATAATGCTTACCACCGATACTCTTGGCAGCATCTTTCAGACTCCCGGCGAAATACTGACGGAGGACATCCAAAGTGATGGTTTTCTCTGCTTTCGTACGCTTTTTCTCAGCCATTCTACCGAAACCAGAACTAGAGACGGTACTCTCATTCATACTAGACTCCCCACCATAGTCGAATCCTCTTTTCATTTCAAAAACCTCGCTTTGCTTGCCCATCTCTGATGCTCCTAAAGCAAACATTGGTCCTAGCTTTTGAGGATTACTATTGCTTTGTTGGAGTTCAGTGACAGAAGGGTTCCACGAGGACTTTTCGTTGAGAACATTCTCCACCTTCGGTACTGTCTCTTCCCTTTCTGTCACTTCACTCGTTATGGAGTCAGCCTCTTCTTCCAGTTCCTTATTCGTGACAGTCCTTAAGCTCCTAGGCACATGAGCCATAATGGTCGAAAGAGAATTCAACATTTTCCTCTGTTCCTCAAGATCCCGACAACTTTTTGGCAAGAAGAACTCCAACACGAAATCAGCAGAGCCCGTGTGGATACAGCGTAGGCGTATGGCTACAGCCCCGTGTAAACCGAACATAGTAGCATGGTGGGAAAGAGGATACTCTGTTTTCTTGTAGCCAGTGACATCGGGCGAGAAACAAGGTTCATTGGTCAAGAAAGCTTGCCCTGCAACTCCTTGCCCTTTCAAGAGATGATGCTCAGAACAAGCCTCGTGGAATTCCTGTACCGTTACATCACCGACATAGCAAGCATCATCAACTGTGGAAACACAATGGATGTAGTTCTCATCATTGTGACGGCAACCACCTTTGCCTTGTTGGAGACAGGAAACCCATGTCTGAGCCAACGGTAGTTTATGTGTCTCGCATGCACATCTCAAGAGGTTCCGGATTTCGGGTAACGCACCTTGGTAGGACAAGTCCCGGACCTGATAAAAGAACAATCTGGTTTCGTAACATCACAACGATGACAAAACCGGAAAGGTAGAAACTTTGTGTTGTTTGCTTTACCTTTACAGGAAATGGAATTGGAACTTCTGTGCTTCTAAGATCAACTGCCTGTTAAAAAAAACAGTTACTTTCTTATCAGAAACCGGGTAAGGATCATAATTCTCACTAAGATGCATTCCCTTTTCTGGTTTACATCCTGAACTTATAGGGAAGAAGGACAACAAGACACAGAACAACGATAAGAAAAACGATCATGGAACAAACCTGAAGGGCTTTGCAGATACTTTCGAGCTCAAACCTTGATTTAACCATCTGAGTGGTCATCACGATTTCGATAACACCCAAGCAAGCCTTACTACCTTGCTCGAAAACGGGAATTGCCAGTGTCCCACGGACATCACAGTCCTGTGCATGCTGAACTCTCGGATACTCTTCACTCCGGAAAAACCTTACATCAGGGGTCCATTCAGGAACCTTCCCCAAGAAAACCCTACCCGGCAAACCCACCAAGTCCTTCGAATCCTCCTGTTCCGCAGAGAAGTGAAAACTCTCAGAAATCTCCCTGTAATTTGCCAGCCTGTGACACATCGGGTCAACGGAGAAAGGCTGTTCTTTGGTGGTTAAAATCCGCTTTCCACCTCTATTCACCGGCACCCACAACTGTATAAGAGAGCCTCTCTCCCTGGTGAAATCTTTAACGGACTTCAGTGCTTGTACCAGTCTCTCCGTTACCGAAGAACCGGGAACACCAGGGGGGTTTGTCCTCGGTCCTATCCACCACCTTCTGTTAAGGCTCGGGATATCTTTCCAGTGAGCTTCATCATGACCAGATCTTTCTGCACCATCTTGACTGAACATCTGAGACAAGCCTGAACCACAGATTGCTGAATCTTGAGCGGGAGACCACATGAAAGAAGAAGGGTCGAACGGGGCACTGGTCGTTGAAGGACTAAAGTTGAGGAATTCGGATCCATCGGTTGTCTCTAACCAGCAACCATCGAATAGCAACTCATCCATAAACTCAATGTCCATTGCAGAATCCATTGGGGGAGCGTTTATGGTGTTCCCAGGTTGACGAACATTATCTCCCATGATTTATTTGCTTAACCTCCACCAAATCCAGACACCAACCACAGCTAAATTTGCAGACAGAAGACAAATGACAACTCACAGCTCTGTCTGAAGTAGAGAGTCCAGGAAACGAAATCAACGAAGCACCATCTGAAAAAAGAAAATGGAGATTTAGGTGGGTTTCTCTTGCTTGCTCACCATTTCCACAGCAATCACATTTCTAAAGCCGATACAAACCATGAATCTTTCATCGAATAAACAAAGTAAGCAAGTTTAAAGAATAAAACCCATTACTGGATGAGATCAGATCAAGCACAAATCAGGCCTAAATCCACTTCGCGATGCCAAAACAGAGAGAACAAAGACTCGTGAACCAAGTAAAAGGAGGATAGAAATAACCCAGCTTTTTTCAGTTTGATTCCATCAATTTGGTCGATCTAAACCCTAATCGCTTATGGGTTACGATTTACAGAACTCACCCACAAGAAAAAAAGGGAAAAAGATTCGAACTTTGGACTAATCCTCAGTAATCTGGACCCTTAATAACGAATACAATCCACTCCTGAGAGAGAAGAAGAACCTCTGAGCTTAAGAACCCAAAAAGGGTAAAAAGAAGAAGAAAGAAAGAAAGAAAGAAGAAAAACTCACAAGGCAAAGAAATTCCTGAAGATTCCTCGAGCAGATTTTCTCTTTTTCTATATAATTGGAGTTTCCTGAAATGCCTAAAAACACACCAACTTGCCTGAGACAGAGGAACAGATGAAACCAAATCTCTCACACCCAAAAGAGCAGGAAAAGAAAGCTGTAAAGATGTCTGATGGGTATGTCCCTGGTGAAGAAGTACCCTCCTCCACGGATGATTTCCCAAAAAAAAAAACTTATTTTTGGGGCATCGTTATCTCATCTATGCATTTGGGGGTAAAAAAAAGAGAGCCCTTTAATTTCTTTTGTATTTTCTTGCTTTGGTTTTTTCATTACAAGACATGACTCTCTCTCTCCCTCTCTCTCTTCCAGGCTGCTTGGGTGTTGAGAGAGAGGGATGGGGGAAATGGGATGAGAGAAGAAGATTCCCCACTTGGGGAGAGAGAGAGGGTCCACAGAGATTACGAATAAACAAATGAGCAATTTGATGTATTGGGCAGTAAATTTCTCAATTTGTAAAGTCAACTTTTTTCCATCACCAATGGAAAGGTTTTGATTTGGAATCTTAATTGGAATTATTAGGGCAAAAATGAAATCTTAAGAAAAGGAAAACGGAGAGAGAATAATTTCATTGAGAGGAAAATATTAAACTTTTGATTTTCCGCTGACTAACGATACAATAAAATTATAAAATTATGGATTTTATTTCTATTTTTAATAAAACAAATCCAACTATATTTGAAAATAAACACAATTTTGGTATCTTCAAAATGATACCGTATCTGATTTTTCACATTGTTTAGAGATGGGTTTTGGAATATCAGTTTCTTATTGTGATGATTAGAAGTGGGAATCCATTTCCGTTTTTTTTATAAAACTATGATTATACGTTTCCTACATTTTTCTTGAGTAATAAATGTGAACAATTGGATAAACAAGTTGTTGATTGATATTCTTCTATTAAAAAAAACAGTGGATGATTATAAAATAGAAGAAAAAATAGAAATATTCAAACCAGGAAAAATATTGATAGTTTTTGTCAAAGAACCAAATATTATTTGTTCATAAATCTTCAATCTTGAATGTTTTTCTTTCTAAAATTAAAGAATCTAAAGGTCCAAAGAGAGAGAGTAAGAAAAGGTATCAACCCGGGTAGTGACGATTATTTTGGTATTTTATATTGATTACGATCCAATCACTCGATTTTAAAAATATTATTCAATTAACTTTTAAATTAAGTTAAAATTCAATATACTTTTATATTATTTAATTTAATTATATTTATCAAATAATTATTTCTAATTTATATAATTAGTAAAAAACAATGGATATTAGTGTTTTTTTTTTAAATAAATTTTGAAAAATAGATATTATATTTAAAAAAATTGAGACAAAAAGCAAAGGAAATGGAATATAATGTGTGACCCACTTTTGCCCGTGAAAAGATGCTACGGTGGAAAAAAATATTTTGAACCTTTCTTTTCTGTACATAAGGACTGATGAAGAGTCTAGGGTATTGGAAACTTATTGACGCAGATGAACTCATTAATATTGGTCATATTTTGAACCTTATATTATCAATATTTTCTCTAGTCCTTTGTATTGTTTCCTCTCTAATTTTGAACATTGATACATCCACATTTACATAACATTATTATAGTATATTTTTATCTATATGTTTATAGTTATTCTACACTGCCTTACTTGGCTATAACTAATCCTACATAATATCATGTACAATATTTAGTTTGTATTTGCAAAACTCAAGAGTAAGAGTGTTAATTTATACCCGAAATCCGAAGTTCGATCGGGTGTTAATTTAGACCCGAAACCCGAAGTTTGATCCGAATCTATTTGAAATTATCATATTTCAAGTCTAAATTTTTCTGATTCGGAGAAATCGGGTTTTCGAATCGGATTCAAATCGAGTTTAGGGCCTGATTTGAGCCGACCCGAAAACTCGATAATTTTTTTAAAAAAAATTCTTAATAAAAAATAAATAAATTTGTAAAAAAATTTAAACGGATTGATCCGGTCCGATCCGATTCGATCCGAGTTCGAAATGTATAGAGTTGGGTTTGTGATTTGGTTATATAGACTCGAAAAAATCGGGATGAGTACGGGTCGGATCGGGCCAATGCGATTGACATCCCTACTTAAGAGTATGGTTTTGTTCTCAAAATTCTGACTATTTCGATATAAAATTTAACACATCAAAATGTTAATTAGAGAAGTGAAAACGATGTATCTATTATTTTTTGTATTTTCATTTGTTAATACAATATATGTGTAGCTTGGACCAATGATAGAAAGTCCGCTACAATTTAACATACAATTAGTATAATATTTTCTTCTGTTGTGTTAAACCAAAGTCAGATCTGCATAATAATAATAATAATAATAATAATTGTTTGAAATATTTTACAGAACTTGACCATGTGGATGCGAAATAAACAAATAAAGAAGAAAACTAGTCATGTGAAAAGATGGTCTCCTCTTAATGCGCTCTCATATCCCTTTTCGTTATAAAATTACTGGTCCAAAGTATTTTTTTATACTGAATTATACGTATACGTATACGTAAATACAAAGACGTATATACACGTAAAGGTACACATTTACATATGTATATATTAACAGAGAGAGAGAGAAAAAAAAGATGAAATAAGTGGTGCGACTTAGTATCCCCCACTTGGCGGTTGTCCTTTCAAAACTGCGAGTTACGTACAAAGAGTTTGTCACCTCCACATTATACATACATATATATATATATATATATATATATCCAATTCAGAATAAGAGTTGAAAATATGGTAATTTCCACCTTTATTTTTAAAATGAAAAACAACATTTTTTTATGGATATTTAAATTTACACCAAGTAGTCAGAAACATAAGTCCGTATAGAATGATTATATCTACTGTCCATAAAGATAAATATTTTTTTATAATATGAAAATTTATCAGATTTTTTATTTAGAAGATTGGAGAAATCTAGATCAATATTCGAATGGAGGTTCAAACGAAAGAGGTTTATTCGTTTTTTGACCAATTAATCTATCTATTCTTGGATATAAAGATATCATTTTAACATTGATAATAATGAAAACGTCATCTAATATATAATTTATTCCATGTTTATTGAAAATAATCCATACTTAATGTTGGTTATGTTGGGGGTTGAGATTTGATAATATTTTTGCAACTTGCAGTCTCGCAGATGCAAAATCCCACACGCTATATATATATATATATATATACTCTTCCCTTTTTACTTCATTGTGAAGAAACGACAGGAAAAAAATATATAAAAAATAAGTATTTTTGTCGTGGTTGACAAAAACAAAGTATTTTAATTGTATGAACTAATACTTCAATTATGACCACATGCTTTGGGGTGAGGGATTAAGTTTTGCTTGAGATTTGAGTTGATCTAAAATATCTTAAAAGTAAAATTTGAATATTTATAAAATTTATTATTTACTCTGTAATTAGTTTAGTTAAAAAAAATATTTTTTTTCACGAGTTAGAAGAGTTTTGTGAATTGAAATGGCTTAATAAACTAATGAGTCTAGAAAGTTAGGAGAAGTGAATTTATAAAATTAAGAATTTAATTTTATTAGAAGTGGAATTTGAATTTACAGAATATTAAAATTTAAAATTTTAAAATTAAAGGTGGTGCCTTTAATTGATAATTGAAAAAGAAAAAAAAAGTGAAATTAACTCAACTAGCACATCACCCAAATAAACCCATTAACTCCGTAAGGATATGCTAATGGTGAAATGCACAAAAATATATACATATATATAAAAAAACAAACGAGAGATAAAAGAGGGAATAACCTAAAATTTGTAATAGATAATTTAAAAGATATAAATTTTTGGAAATAATTTATTTCGAAATATAATTGATGCATGAAATTTTATATTTTGATATTTCAATCAGTTTTCATTCCGTTAGTAGATAATATATTCTTAAAAAAATCTTCATACATAGCAACTGCATAATAACATATTCACTGATTCGAAAACACATCAATTTCATCTACGAGCATACATTCCATATATATCGAGAGAGAAAAAAAGCTTGTCAAAAGTGTAATATTATAGAAAACAACGTCTCAAAATAAAAAATATATTGTAAAAAAAATATTTAAAATATCTTATAAAAAGAAATGTGAAAAGAGATTCTATTCGTCAATTAAACCCTAATATAAAAATGAGAAAGGAACAAAATCGTCACAACTAATAAAACACGAAGGAGATTCCGATTTGGTGTCTACACAATTTTAAAATATTATTTCTTGCTAAGAGAATCTCTTTTCGACATTGTGTTTGAAGTGTGTGTATATATATACACGAGGATTTTATAAGAAATGATATATATATATATATATATATATATGTATATATGTATCAATTATTCAACTCCAATCATTATGACAAATTTCGCACGTCATAGTTAGGTAAAGTATTTTTATTTTTTCTTATAATTTATTAATTTATATTTGTTGTACAACATGTTTTTTGTTGAGTACTTTGGTAGGTGCATTTATAACCCCCACAAATTATATAGGAGTTAGATGGTAGTAATTTTTATTTTGAGTTTTTTGTTTTAATTTTTTGTTTTTGTAATTTGTACAAACAAAAAAAATAGAGTTTTTGGGTTTTAAGTAATTTTTTCACTAAAATAGTTTTCCAAATTTCTAGGAAAACATATTTACAAAATCTTAATTATCATTTTTTTGAATTTTAAATTTTACAAAAACGTCTATCATTCAAACCCATAGTACTCCACGACTATGGCTTTACCATGGCTTTTGATTGGTTTGGTGGTGAGGCCTTTTCTTTTTTAAATTGTAATTCAAATTCAATTAATTATATAAAAAAAAGTAATGGATAATTGAACTCAATTTCCAAACTCCAAATATTCTAAATTTAAAGTTTTATAAACTAAATTAGCATTTTTTTAACTATTTATCTCTTTAAATAATATGAAACCTCTCTGTGTATTAGTAATGATAGGATAAATCTAATCGTGTATTGTTAATAACAATTGTCATTATAAGACCGATAAAATTGTATCACCGAGTAAAATCATCATTAATTCATGGTAACAAAAAAATTACAATCTCAACCACCGAAAACTGAATCAAAGAAATTTACTATATATTTTATTTAATTCATATACAAGGCATATTTTTTTTTGAATAACTTGATATTTTGGATCAAGACTCAAACTAATTTTATGGATAAAAAATCTGGGGTAAATACTTCTCTCAAATTTGAGATTCGAACTCGGATTGAACAAAAGTTTTGCGTATGTATTTCATCGGTTTAATTATTTAAGTTTGGTTGATATACATATACATATACATATATATATATATATATAGGATAATTTGGTATATTATATCAAGTTTCAAACTAATTTTAGGAGTCGAGAAATCCAGAAAAATGTTCCTCCTCAATTTGGAGTTCAAACTCGTGATTTGATATACGTTTTGCGTATCCGTTTAATCGGTTTAACTATCAGACTTTGGATGGTGTGAGATATATTTTATTTACACAATCCACAAACAGATAATATATAAACCAACTAAACCAAATTAAATCATCCAATCCGCGAACTCTAACAAAAGAAAGGCCGTACGAATATAAAATTGAGTTTCGGACTTCGAAGGTAGAGGTGGAAGACCGCATGTTTGGTCCGGTGGCGATTTCACTGAATCAAATTCAGTGCTTATAGCATTTGATGTGGTTATGAGATTCCGGATTAACAGTGATTTTAAATGATGATTAAAAATTTCCTAAATACAACAATGATTACGATACTACAATTTAAGGTTTATGTATGTATGTATGTATGTATGTATGTATGTATGTATGTATGTATGTATGTATGTATGTATGTATGTATGTATGTATGTATGTATGTATGTATGTATGTATGTATGTATGTATGTATGTATGTACTCATGCATTAATATATAGAAACAAAAGCTAAATATACGGATTCGAATATACAAATCCACTCTTTAATTATCATACGTTGTATTCCACTAACAAGGGAATTATTCAAATGCTCCGCATACAAAAAAAAAAAAAAGATCTTATATTATCACATTTACGCCATCTCGCATCATTATAACGACCCATATATAATAAAAATTTAAAAATATTCTTAAGACAGAGTTGACGCGATGACTTTTATATATATATGAAATTCTATTTAAAGTTCCACTCATTCTGGACTGCGACGCTTTACTTTTTATCTTCATCCGTGTCTCTATTATTATCCTAAATTCTGTGTGTAAGGTTACGTCATAGATGCAAAGCAAAGAAATTGCACGCACCACGTGGAGTTGGTGTGTGAGTGTGTAATCCTCCAACTTGAAAATGGAATATTCAATGATTCTATAATTAGCATTACTATAATCCTATCCTTTGCTTAATCAAATAATACAAACCCTACAATAACCACGAAACCCCAACTACTATCTTTCGTATATGCTGCTTAAACAAAATCCCATCTATGTACACGAACCCACACGAGATAAATTAACCGTAAATAACGAACGACAGATAAATAGTCAATAAGTCAAACCCGCACCCTCTCTTATGGAGAGCCAAATCCTTACCAACTCACCTAGAATTTCTCCCAATTTAACTGCTTTTGTACTCATCACTAAGACCCAAAATTTGTAACGAAAAAGAATGTGGGAGGTGAAAAAAAGTTTTTTTCTTGTGATTTTTCATCTCACTGGTGAGTTTTTTTACATAAAATATGTAACTAGAATTTACCCAAAACGATTGTTACCGTTCAATGATAGTTTTGGCATTGAGAAATATACATGCTGTAAAATCCGAGTTTTTTTTTATATAGTTTGCAAAGAGCTCCAATTCCACAAGTACCAGACACACATCTGTCAAGCTCATAGCTTTTATTGTTGCCTTAAAACACACGAGTATCAGATAGGAACACAAGACTTGGCTTACACCTTTTTTTTTTAAAATTACTATTTAGTATTTCCTCTAAAAAGACAGAGGCAGAAACCACGGCATAAGAGCATCGGTTTAGGAGAAAACGAGAGAAAAAACCAACCAACCGGACACAGTTTGGAGTTTGCCTGTACGGCCGAATCAGAAGCTTGGCCTCACGTTGAGACGACTCGCTAGTTTCTGCCCCAGAGATTTGTCCGCCTGTCGATTACAACGTGCTTGGTTGGTGCCAATTGAATTGTCCGATCATAACATATACATATATATGTATATATGTGTGTGTATATATATAGTGACATGGAAACGGTTTCTCTGACCTGAGACCAGTAAGAGATCCAGATGCTGCGGATCTCATGTGTGCATCGCTTGTCCGAAAGGGCTTCCACCCATCTCTTCAAAAACCGTTCTTGCCTGATCGATTGATCGAGAAGGTTTAGCGTTAAGATCCATGAAATGTTTATGCTTTAACCATTAGAATTCGGTTTCGGTCGTATTACGTACATTGTATAAATACCTATGTTTGATGATTGATTTGAATACAACACGAAATCTCTCCACAATTCAAAATAGTAACGAGGATGAATTTCTCATCCGATACCATTTCGAAATTCTTGAGAGAATTTACCCAACCAATTCGGAATAAACCGAATGTACATTCGGGTTTCACGAGAGGGGTTAAGTTAGTTACCTGTCCGGAGCCCAGGACCGATACCTCTCGCCAGGCTGTTTGAAGTTGTTCTCCTTCTCAATGATGCACTGAAACGAGAAAATAAGAACTCGGGTTTGATTTTGTTCCAGATTTCTGTTATGGGAGTAGACATAAAGAATGGCTGAGACAAACCTTCTCACGTCTTCCAGAGCAGATGGCAGGAGGACTTGGGAATCTCTCGGCATGGCGAACAGGATCAAACCTTGATGGGAAGTAATTGACCTGCAAAGCAAAGCAAAGCAACATTACTGTTTCGTATCCCCAAGATCCTGATCCAAGAAAAAAGAAAAACGGAATTGATCGATATAAAGGTTTTTTTCTTCTCAAACTAAGACGTCGATACCTCTTCATCCCGGTGCATGAAGTTCATAAAACCGTCATGGTGATTGTTGTGGTGAACACATTTTGGAGCATTAACCGGAAGCTGCAGATAATTCGGTCCAAGACGGTGTCTCTGAGTGTCAGCATATGAGAAGATCCTTGTCTGAAGCAGCTTGTCATCCGAGTAGTAGACGCCGGGAACCACAAGAGCAGGGCAGAAAGCAACCTGCTCGTTCTCCGCAAAAAAGTTATCGATGTTTTTGTTCAAGACCAAACGGCCAACGGGTTGCAGAGGCAAGATATCCTCGGGCCAGGTCTTGGTGACATCAAGCGGGTCGAAATCAAACTTGTCCTCATCGACTGGATCCATGATTTGAATGAAGAGTTTCCACTCGGGATAGTTCCCTGCAGCGATCGAGTCATATAGGTCTTGAGTTGCATGGCTGTGGTTGGATCCTCCAACCCTAATAGCCTCTTCTTCCAACAGACATTTAACCCCGCAAGTCGGTTTCCAATGGAATTTCACGTAGTGAGCTTTCCCAGCCTTGTTTATCAGCATGTAGGTGTTGACCCCCGAACCTTCCATGTGCCTGTAGTCCTGTGGTACGCCTAGATCATCGAAGAGGAACGAGAACATGTGCAGACTCTCCGGGTGGTGGGAGAAGAAGTCAAGGATCCTCCAATTCTCCTGAATGTGCGATTTGGGATTCGGTTTCAGGGCATGGACCATGTCAGGAAATTTCATTCCATCACGGATAAAGAAGACAGGGAAATTATTTCCGACGAGATCAAAGTTACCCTGAGTTTGCCAACAAAGGGGGGAAAAGGATCAGTACAAGTACAAATGTTGGGAACAGAACAGAGAACTGGCATTAAGACAATAATATGTAATGAAACCTTAAATTGCAATGGTTGGCATCTCCGGGAAGCCGAAGATACTAAAAGTCATTGTAATCTTACCTCTCTGGTGTAAAACTTCACAGCGAAACCACGAGGATCTCTCAGGGTCTCGGGACTGGCACGCTCATGAATAACGGTAGAGAAACGGACAATGACAGGGGTCTGAACGCCAGGGGCCCGGAGAAAATCAGCACATGTAAGGTGTGTGATGTCATGAGTGACCTCAAAGAAACCCTTTGCACTGGCTCCCCTTGCATGGACTACTCTCTCGGGAATCCGCTCTCTGTCAAAGTTTGCGAGTTTCTCGAGCAAATGGTAATCCTCAAGAAGAATCGGGCCTGCCGAGTAAAAGTTTAATCATATCCTCCACGTGTCAAAAGTTAGATAAAGCAAAAGAGAATCTCACTCAACTCTTTTCTTACTATATTGCTCTCACATAACTGATAAAAGTTCAACATGGAGTAGATTCACAACTTCTTTTTAACCATGCCGGAAAAGATATATAGAAAGGGTAATGACAGAACTGATGAAAACATATTGTTGCATAGAGGCAAGTTATAGTCATAATCCTTGGAGAACATCTCTGGTTTTAAGGGGGGAAAAACAGCACCTCTTGTTCCAACAGTCAGGGAGGAGTTGTTGTTCCACACAGGAGCACCCGAATTTGTGGTGAAGAAAGGAGAAGAATGAGCGCTCGAGGGACGATACTGAACCATCAACAGAAAAGAAAAATGACATAAATCGTTCGAGTTTAACAAATCAAACCCCGTTGCCACATCGTATCAATCAATCAGATTCAGCAAGAACAGTCAGATGATATTATACCACATATCAAAGAAACTAAAGAGGATAGATTTTTCCGTCGTTACTAGCTAAAATGCAACAGTTTTCAATCGATCTCAGTGACCAAATAACTAAAATACATCAGAGAAATCCAAGGGAAACATTTAAAAATGGTGATCAACATCCTTAAGCGATAAAGGGCAAGTTCGAATAAGAAAAGATCAAAAGATCAAATCAGCCTTCAAGCTTGTTGATTGGGACATGAACACGCGCCATATATGAAATTAAAAAGAAAGGAAATTATTGAATTGATTAGCCATCAATAAAATATACACCTTATTTTTGCTGGCATATATCTTCGGAAACAATTCAAGCAATGATCGAAACCTTAATTACAATTTGAAACCCTTGATCGGAGCTGAAATGGGATATGGAACATATAACTAAAAAACCCTAATCCGGAGACCGAAAATATGGATTTTCGTCTATAAAATTACCGAAAATCGTTGTCGAAGATCCGAAACCACATCAATTTTACGCGAAATGACAAATTTTCATCCTATTTTACCCCCTTTTCCCCCGTCAGAAAGTCGATCAAGCTAACATCGAGAACAACCAAATCAATTCAATTCTCGAGTTCCTCATAATCCACAGGAACCGAATCGGGAGATCTCCGCGCAATTGAACAATTTCATCACAAAACATCGATGCCAATCGAAAAATACATGATCGATACGAGAGAAGAAAAAAAACGAATCGGAATCGATACAGGCAGAAACAGAGATCAAAGTATGCGAAGAGATCGATAGAGAAACCTTGTAAGGATCCATGATTGCAGAGGAAATTGATCAGAAACACTATCCTTTAAGGATTGATAACACCGAGGGAGAGAGATTAGCTTTATATGGAAAACGGCGTATGTCGTCGTCACTCTACCTCATCGTTATCTTCAATACGTATAGGTAGATAGATATAAACATACATGTGTATTTACGCATATTTAGTATATGCGATAAATTGGAGATAATTATCCAGTATCCAGAAGAAGCAACCGCGATAAAAACCCGAAACTCTCGGCAATTTATCTTCTCGGCGATTCTTACAAAGCACATTAAAATATTATTTTTTATATATGTATTGAAAATTGACACTAAGGATAAAACCTAATTTACTAACAGAACAAATGACGATAATTTAGTTGATTATGCGAGAAATGCGGAGATGATATCGTCTCGCCGACTCGCCGATATTTGTGTCCACTGTCCACGGCACTAGAAATAGACAAGTGTCGTTTCGAAACATTTATCCTTAAATTGGAATATTGCCGTTTTTTAAAATAAAAAATTGAAGTTAATAACAATGGAAATAAAAAAAAAATTATTCATAGGTAAAAACTAATAAGAAATCAATTTTCTCATGCTTTTATGTGAAATTTTTTTATCAACGAGATGATGTTTATCTGGCTAGTTTTATTTACAGCAAATCTCTAAATTTCATGTTTCCATACGGAAAAAAGTGCTATAAAAAGAATGAAATATAATGTTGATAAATGCATACCTTAATGATTTTATTTGCCACGTCATAATATCATCGCATAAAAAAGAAAATGATAAAGACTGCAACTTTATTATTTTTGAAACACGCATAAGAAGCAGGATATCATATTCAGATATTACAACCTTAGAAAAGATCTTTAGTTGCTATTAACATTGATTTATTTTTGGTAGACATAAAACACGAACAAGTCTTTTTTTTTTTTTTACCAATTTCATAAAACATATTTATCCATTACCAAAGAACAGAGAGTTCAGAGATCCCAACCAGAGTTCAGAGATGACAACATCGTCATGAGTTCTGTCTTGTTGCAGAGATCAGAAGCTTGGCCTCACATTGAGACGATTCGCCACTTTCATGCCCAGAGATTTATCGGACTGTTTCATAAAAAAAAACATTAAATGTAATCTGTATATAATGTATAAATCAAGGAAATGGAGATATTTCGATGAATAATGGTGTCAGATCTTTCTCACCTGCGACAAGTAAGAGATCCAGATTCCGCGAATCTCGTCAGTGACACGTGCGTCCGAAAGGGCTTCGACCCAACGGTTCGCGTATCTCTCTTGCCTGTTCAATGATATCAAGATTTGGAATTTGCGACTTGTGATGATGATGAAAAGAAGCTTAGGGTTTTTCGGTTGAGTGTTCCGCAAGAAAAAAAAAACAGAAAGATTTCATTACCTGTCTGGTGCCCAAGATCGGTATCTATCTCCTGGCTGCTTGAAGTTGTTCTCTTTCTCGATCACACACTGGAACAAGAAAAGAAAAAGAAACTGAATATGTTCCGAATTTCATTGTGTATATATATACACATATGGTGGGAGATTATATATATAGATATATATATATATATATATATATAGAGAGAGAGAGAGAGAGAGAGAGATACCTTGACGCGTTCACCAGAGCAGATAGCAGAGGGAATAGGGTATTTCGCTGCATGGCGAACGGAATCAAACCTTGAAGGGAAGTAGTTCACCTGCAAATCACCAAGATTTTGCATATTGACACTTATATATACACACACACATATAACAATTGTATATATACATACCTCCTCATCCCTATGCATGAAGTTCATGAACCCATCATGGTGATTGTTATGGTGAGCGCATTTAGGGGCATTAACCGGAAGCTGGAGATAGTTCGGGCCGAGGCGGTATCTCTGAGTGTCGCCATAAGCGAAGATCCGAGCCTGCAAGAGCTTATCCTGCGAATAATAGATCCCCGGGACGACAAGGCCGGGGTTGAAAGCGAGCATCTCGGTCTCGGCGAAGAAGTTATCGACGTTCTTGTTCAAAACAAGGCGACCGACGGGCTGAAGAGGCAGAACATCCTCAGGCCATGTCTTGGTAACGTCGAGAGGGTCGAAATCGAACTTGTCTTCATCAGCAGGGTCCATGATCTGGATGAAAAGCTTCCACTCTGGAAAGTTCCCTGCTGCAATGGCGTCGTGAAGATCCTTAGTGGCGTGACTGTGATTCGCCGCCGCAACTTTAGCGGCATCTTCCTCGAGCAGACATTTTATACCGCACGTGGGTTTCCAGTGAAACTTCACTAAGAGAGATTTCCCGGATTTGTTGATGAACTGATAAGCGTGAACTCCGAATCCTTCCATGTGCCTGTAGTTCAGAGGGACGCCCACGTCGTCGTAGAGGAAGGCGAACGTGTGTAGACTCTCGGGAAAATGAGAGAAGTAGTCGAGGATTCTCCAGTTCTCTTGGATGTTGGTGACGGGGTTCGGTTTCAGGGCGTGGATCGTGTCCGGGAACTGGACCCCGTCCCGGGTGAAGAACACCGGGAAGTTGTTACCGACGATGTCGAAGTTGCCCTGAAGAAGGAAAACCGACAATGTTATTAGCCGCTTGAAATTATATTACATTCTCTACCAATATTATACGTGAATATCAAATTTCGGTTCTTGTGTCATACTCAAACCAAAACCGTTCCTAACCGAATCTAATTTGAACAATTTTTAAGAACCGAATAAACCATTTTCGAATCAAACACAATCTTGGCACCATTACAGCAATCAAATTTCTAAAATTCATATGACCTCTAGTTCATCGTATATTCTGCTTGCTCTAATAAATAATAAAATCGTTCTAAAACCGAATTGAACCGATTAACATCTGAGTCTAATTTCAACAATTTTAACAGAACCGAATAAATTGTTTTCGAGCCGAACCGGTCAAATATCAGACCGAAACTCGAAACATCCACTCCAACCAAAACGGTTAAAACACTCGTTATAAGGTGTTTTGCTCTACTAAACACCCATTTTTATAAATAAAATAAAAAATCAGAAACGCGTTATCCTAACCATTTTACACTAATAATTTTCAGAAACGGGTTCAAAGCCATTAATTGAATACCTCTCGGGTGTAAAACTTGGTGGCGAAACCACGGATGTCTCGCATGGTCTCGGGGCTTCCACGTTCGTGAACGACGGTGGAGAATCGGACAATAACCGGTGTCTGAACGCCGGGGGCTCGGAGGAAATCAGCACAGGTCAGGTGAGAAACATCGTGCGTCACTTCGAAGAATCCCTTTGCGCTGAATCCTCGCGCATGCACCACTCTCTCGGGAATCCTCTCCCTCGTAAAGTTTGCAACTTTTTCTATCAAATGGTAATCCTCTAGAAGGATCGGACCTGATTTTTACAAATGAAGACGGAACACATTGTTAATAAGAGATATTAACAAGGGAATCAAATATTCCAGTTTATAACCAAATTGATTCGAATCAAATAACACAAAACCAAATTCGATTAAAAATTGAATGTATATAATTTATTTTAAAATATGAATAATTGGAACCTAGATCGAATATAACAATAATGGAAAAAAAAAAACGAGACCTCTGGTTCCAACAGTCAAGGAAGAGATGTTGTTGTAAACAGGTGCACCCCCGTTTGTGGTGTAGTACGGAGTATCATGAGAGCTCGAAGGACGAAACTGCATTAGACAACAAAAAAAAAAAAAAAACAGGATTTATCAGTCGATCTTGAAAATAAAATAAAATAAGGGATTTGTTAAATAAAAATTATGTGTTAATTATATAATACAAAAACAAATATTTAATCAGTCATGTAATCAGACTCGACAAGAATGGCCACAGACTTTATTTACTTCGATCCCAAATGATCTAAATTACTGTATATAGTACACAAGAATAAAAAAGAATATTTTGTAAGATCTATTTTACTAAATATTTTTTAGAGATTTATGACATGGAAAAATATTGTTTGGAAGCCAAAACGAATATTTGTTTGGTTTATGAGAAAATGAAAGAAAATTTGAGAAAAAAAGAGCGAGAAAAAGAAATGGAGAGAAACTTTTCCGTATTATCCCACAATTTCAATCATATTTTTTTCTCCCTCTCTATACATATATATATCTATATATATATATATATATTATTGAGAGTTACAAACTAATTAATATATTTTAGGTATATTCAAAAAATGTTTTAAAAGATTTCTCAAGAAAATATATATCATTTGCCCTTCGGGGCCAGGTCAGTTGGTTAGAAACAGGGGGCAACTCTTTGAGGTGGGGGTTCGAATCCTGCCATCTCCCTTTCTCTGACCTGCTCGCCTGTCAGCCTATCATAATAGACTGATTTACCTCCTACGCGTGTATTGCAGGCTCGTGCGCGTAGACTTTGACCCACAGACGTCTAAGTCCAACTACGGCCCGAACGTTAGGCGCGTCTGGTGGTCAGGTCCGGCGGACTAAGGTCCATACAGACTGTTAAACGTGGGTGGTGGCCAGTTCGTTCCGTTTGTAGGGGTAAGTAGTCACGGATTTCCCAATATAAAAAATATATATATATATATATATCATTTATCCTGTAACATTTTTAAAGGTCCCAGATAATAAATCTTCAAAACTATCAGAATAGCACCTGTTCGTTGATTCGAATACGAACACGTGGAGTACCAAATTAAAGAAATATTAACTCGCTTAATCCTCCAATTAATTTAGGATCAATAACACCTTGCATGCCGACGTACGTACGTACGTACATGTATTACTCGGCCCAAAGAACCACGTGCAAAGCACATGCCCCCCCTCATATTTTAAGACCAAACATCGAGATCTTGTGGCGATCTATTGTTAGAACGTGTGTTCAAAGTAATGAGCGGTGATGGTTTTTTTAAGTTTTTTTTGTTTTGTTTTTGGATTTTAGTTTACTTTTTGATTCTTATAGTTTTTATAAAGTGTGAAATTCCAAAAAAATAGGTTATATACAAATACATTGATTAGATTGTCTGTTTTTTAGATTTTAAAATTGGGAAAAAAGTTTCAACTCTTGTCCATTTTATACACAAAATGCCGATCTGTTTAGAATTTAATTAAGATTATAGCAACAAGACAACCGATTTAGATTTAGAATCAACGGTGGAATCGTCATCAGATTCAGATTCAATAACCATACACACTTTTATACAAACACGAAAAGCATGATCTAAGAATAGAAATTGAATTAAATTATAAGATCAAAAGAAGGGAAGAGATCGACCGACGGAGAGAGAGAGAGAGAGAGAGAGAGAGGTCTTATACCTTGTAAGGATCCATAAGTGATGGAAGAAATTTGTGTTTAACGTTTGGTAAGAGAGGAGTGAGCCCTAACTTGTTGCACACCCATCTATTTAAAGAGCAAGTGGCCTCACTGTAGTTCATCATTATCCCCTAGATTCACTGTTTCAAAGTTTTTACTTTTCGTCGGAATATTAGAATTTTAAATATTTTTTTTTGAAAATTCAAGTGCATTATCAAGTTTGTCTCGCTGCATTATTTCCCAAAAAATATCTGAGCAGCAGCGAAGACACAGTGGACCCAGACCTAGAGCTGGGCGTTTCGGTTCGGTTTTTCAGAACCGGACCGAACCGAACTATTAAAACAGTATTTTTCTCGATTCAAAACCGTTGTTATTTTTTGATTTGTACCATTTTTAGAGAACCGAATTTTTCCGGAACCGAACCGAACTTTAAAAATCCCGAAAGACCGAATATTTTTAAAGAAAATCTATCATTTTTTTAATAAAATCCGGAATCGAACCGAACCAAACCGATACCGAAACCAAACCGAACCGAACCGAATATAATAAAAAACCCGATTGGTACCTATTTTTGTAAAACCGAAAGAACCGAACCGATTTATTCCGTTCCGAACTCGAACCGTTTTCCGAAACGCTCATCCCTAACCAGAGCGGTCCTCCAACTTGCTCGATATTCAGAATTATTGGGAAGAACCAAAGATAAAAATTTTAAACTAGAAATTAGTTTAAATTATATACGTGTTTTTGAAATCTTTTGAAGAAAATGAAAACGATATTATCTCGGATTCTGTTGCCTCTCATTGATCATCAGTATTTTACGATATTTTATAATATTTCAAAATTAAAAAATAATTAATCTAATAAATTATAACATAATTCTCTTTATTATTGATATTGTTAACCGAATAGATTTTAAATTTCATTAAAATTCATAATCCTTAATATACCCAAATCAAGTAAAAATACAGTCTCTTGTTATATAAATTCCAATAATTCCAAATAATGTTCTCGCCAACTGCAAATGGATGACAGAGTTGGACCGTCGCCTTCATGGTTAAAGCTGCTTTTTTTTTTTCTCACGCGCCGATAATGACAGGTTTCAGATCCCACCTTATCTTGTCCTTATTGAATTTTCTCCGTCACATTAAATAATATTTTACTTATTTATTGTGATTAATAATTACAGGATTAGTTACCTTTTTTTTATCTTACCGAATTAAGCCTACAAAAAACGAATATAAAATGTCTACAACATTACCCGTGATTCGAGCTGCAATGTGTTAGATATTCTTCTGTGTTCTACGTAATTCGGTTATTGGGTATATAAAATGGATTTATTTTATGATAAATATTCGTATATAATTATAACTTTTTATACACATTAAGCATTCATAGATCTTATAAAAAAAAATACTTGAGAAGGTGTTTTTTAGATATTGTAATGAACTTTTATCAGAAAAAAAAAGAAGATAAAAGCATAGTGTGTTTAACACCATGTATTTGTATTACATTATAGTGCATGTAACCTATAAAAATTATTGAATTTATAAAATAATGAAAAATAAAATTTAAAATTTTACATTTTGACAAATTTGATTTCAAACTTATGAAATATGTTATTATAATTATCCAATTTATTAACTGATATCAAAAAAAATTCAACGATATTGATTTAAAAATCAATTTTAGAATTAAAATAACATATTTTATAAATTTAACAATTATAATAACATATTTTATAAAATTATGAAAATTGATAAATGAAAAGTTTAAAATTTTATAAATTTAAATTTGTTTATAGGTTTTAATCTGATATTATATACAGCTGTCGTGTCTGTACACGTGTTCGTCTGTTCTTCATACGTGTCCCACGTCTTAGTGACGTGTTTATAAGTTCAGTACACGTGTACACAGTGAGTTAGAAGAATTATGGATGTTTCCATACTGTGTTCAGTTGTGAATTCCTCGATTACCGGAGTTTTTTTTAATAATTTGGTGTTTTCATATGGGATTTTTGTTATTTCAATTTCGATACAAGATTTTCGATTTTTATTTTTATTTTTAACCGAGGGGGTTATTCCCCATCGTATTATACAATTTTTGTTTTACTATTACAGGGAAATTATGTTATATATAATCAGAGAAATATTGATATCCTCTTAACCTATTATTTCCAAATATTATAAAAAATATATATTAACGAAAGTCCTACAGAGAATTCTGTACTTTTAAATTTTTATTCATCAAGAAAACAGAAGAATTAAAATAATAAAATGACAGAACAAATCCCTGATTGTTTATTAGTTTTAGGCTAAATCGGATTCGAGGCATAATACATTAGATCAAATTAAAATTCTTATAATTCATGTGATTATACCGTAAGAACGAGATTTGGATCTTTTGGATACGAACGATATATTGGATAGAACTCCATTGATTTTCGATATTACTAAATCAACATCAAAATCGATATCGGCTCAATTCCAAATTTATTTGTTGGCAGTATAAATTAATATCATTTTCACTTATCATTTTACGTTACCTTTTTTAAAATATATAACAATTGCAAATTATTTGTTATGATATATTCCCAAATAAATCTAGGTATAACATTCTTTTTCTCTTGATCTCTATTCATATATTTTGTACTTTTAACCGTCATATTTATCGCTATTCGATATTATTGAATATCCACTAATATTTTTTTTTAATAATTATGATGATATTTATAGCTTAAAGGTTATTATAAGTATAAGAAAATATGGAAGAAACTCCAAACTCAATTGGTTTGAGAGTTATCTCCTCTGTCATTTTAAGTCGAGAGTCCAATCCTTATCAATAAATATTTCTTTGAAACTTTCAATTTCGACTAGTTTACCTGTTCGACATTTCGAAAGGTTGTGATTACTTCGACTAGTTTACATGCTCGATATTTCGAAAGGCTGTGATTAATTCGACGGATATTATCCTATAAACATCAATTAGTCTACCCATAATTTTGGAACTAAGTTGTACACGCCATGGAATTATATTGACCTAATGGACGACGTGAAGACTTTTCTAAATGGTAAATTGGAGAGAGAGAGGGGGGTGGGGGCGATGTGTGGGTATCTTATGTTGAAAACAATCTACAATTAGTAGTGAAACCTATACTTTTATTATTAAAAAATCGCATATAAAATATTTTTTTTTTGTTTTCTAAAGATGCATATTCGATCCATTTAATCTATTAATTCAGAATCAATCATTAGTTATACAGTTAATTACGTTCTTTCTTCTTCGAATTCAAGGCTTTGAAGACTAAACCACTCGATCACCAACTGTTAAATCGCATATAAAATACTTACATTTTATAAAATCAAATTAGATAAATTTGTCAAACTATATAAATATCTGAATTTTAAAAACAAAAATACTTAGATTTTTATATATTTATTAAATAAAACTAAAATCTGTTAATAATGTTAATTATTTATTTTGAAAATATTAAAAAATTGATATATTTTTTAAAAAAAAATAGATATTTATATGTAGTTTTTAAAAAATTTAAATATTTATTTAAAAGTTTTTACCTTACGATATTTATTTGAAATTTTTGTAAAAATTTATATATATATATATATATATATGATTTTCTCCTATTATTATTATTATTATTATTATTAGGTGAGGTTGCGGTTGCGGTTGGTACAGATCTTGAAAAAATGTGGGGTTAGTTAGTACAATGATTCATCGGGGATGCAATGTGATCATTGGTACGGTTGATTTCTCGTGGTTACGAATATGTGGCCTGTGATCGGTTTTGATATTTTGGTATAGACAGCATGTTTTGATATTTTTGTACGTGGAAAACGTCGATGAACATTTTTTTCCGATTTTTATTTTCCCTTTATGTTTATAATTTTCCTTAAATTTTCTGAAAACTGAACATCATCCAAATCGTTTTGGATTTGGATTTAGGTTATATATATATATATATATACATACAAACACACATTGTTATAAGTAATACATTTTACTAATGCAAATTGGAGCACATGGGTTTCGCATAAACTTTTATATGGAATTTGCATGTAGTAACTTAAAACTTTTTATATAAATATGTGTAGACAATTAATTGAATTGTATAATTTTCAATCATCCTTTGATGGTTTTTTGCCTAACTAATCCCCAATTCATTTTTATTTTTATTAAAATACGTGAAAAACACAGTATATCGGTTTTTTATGTCATTTGAATTCTGATTTGATTTGATCGGACAAACTCGTAGCAAAAAAAAAAAAAAAAAATGCCACACTTGTTAGAATTTGTGATTGGTTTGTTCCATCCCCACCGTAAATATAGGTCAAATTACTCATTGGATCTAATTGCCTATAGATTTTAATCAGTCGTATGAGATTTTAGGAATTTTAGGTTTCATGGATATTCTAATTTCTATCTTTTTTATTGTATCTTCTTAAAGGAAAATACAGAATCGAAATCGAAATGATCAAATCCGGATATTTTTTTCAAGGCATGACGAGCACTTTTCTAAAACGTTATTCTCTCCCTACCGAGCAAAAGAGATTATCGAGAATACGTTTTGAGATATAGAGAAGAACAGCAACACTTGATTTGCTTTTCAAGTATTACCCGACACACAAGAACTCATGCAAAAGATGAACATAACAAATTCGATGAAGAGTTTGCAAGTTTCTTCACCCAAAAACATTCTTAAATCTCTCAAAATTGATAATATATTTCGTACACAATTTGTAATGATGTTTTCCTTATGTAAAATACTGAAAGTCACTAACCCGACAGTTTAAATGCGAAAAATTGCATCTGTTAAAACTGACGCGGGCTGTATCAAATCTGATGCGGGGCATGTCAGATTTGATGTGAGCCGTATCAGATTTCTGTACAAAATGAATTTTCTCTAACAAAACTGACGTGAGCCGTGTCAAATCTGACGCAGGTAGTGTCATATTTCTGTACCGAAATTTTCGTTTTAGTGCAACCTACGTTCCCTGAATCTGCAGCTCTTACAGTGTACCTAAACGTGATTACACCCAGGGAACGGATCGACATGTATTGGTGTGGGATCCCATACCCCATATATTTCACTGAAAAAAATTATTTACTTGTAATTGTTATAAAATTTTGATAATAAAAAATATTAAAGCCCCGGTTTAAGTTTTTGTTTTGCCCCCTCTTCTCTCATTCCTTTTTCCTTTTATTTTTAAATTTTTTCTCTAAATATTAAGTTTGTGACATTTTTTCTTAAACTTTATTTTCATCTATCTTTTTATTTTCTCTCTCTCAATTTTCTAAAAAAATTTACAAATCTAATATTAAAACATAATACAAAAAATTAAAAATATATAAAAATTACGATATTTATCTAGTTTATTTTATCGAAAATTATATATTCCAACAATTATAAATAAAATTATTATAGATAAAATTTAAAAGATAAAAAATTGTAGAATTTAATGGTAAAATGTAAATATTATTTTGACAGTATATTTTATGAATTTTTTTTATATATTTTTATAAAAACTTTGGAATGAACGGTTTGGTACGATTTTTCAAAGTCGAACACGGTTATTTTTTTAATTCGAACGGTATTATTTTTAGAATACTTAATTTTATAAAATGAACCAAATTTTAAAAAATAGAAAAACAGATTTTTTAATAAAAGTTCTATTTTTTTAATAAAAAATGAAATCGAACCGAACCGAATATATATAATAACCGATTTGTACATATTTTTCTAAAACCGAAAGATCCGAACCGATCTATTTCCGAACCAAACCCAAACCGAATATCGAAATGTTTATTCCACTAATATTTATTTTTCTGGATCTGCCACTGACTGCACTCTCCCCAACCCGTGGCTCGACATGGGATCTTGGAATATCTAAGGTCATGTTTATAATCAAAATCTAATATATGGGTCGTTAGTATATCTTATAATATATATATAAGCGATGATGCCTTCGGCATGAAAATGAAATTTTAAGGACAAAAGACAACGCCTTGTCTAAACTTTTGATTTTTCGTTCTAGTTCTTTACCCTACGTAAACCTCCCGAGATCGCGCTGACATGGATGGCTGCTCTATCGCCACGTGTAAGACAAATCTTTCGAAGATATCCTATGAAATCTATCTTCTCTTCTGTGGATTAAACTCAGAATACGGACCGTTGCCCGTCTTCGTATTTCCGGTTTAGAAAATTCGATAGCCGATGAATCCGGTTTTGCAAACCCTTAATCGGTTCTAGAATCTCTCGGTTCAAAATGATTTTATTATTATTTTTATAATTTTTTATGATATTCACTACAATTTTGAAATAGAAGTTTTTATAGGGCTCCTTGAATTCACTAAAAGAATCAACATATATTTCTCATATGGTACCACATGACTGTTCTATTCATTCAATTAAAAAATATATATATTTATAATTTTAATTTTCTTTCTCCAATGGGATCACAATCTTTTTTTTTTTTTTCCATTACTCCATCTCTGATTTTCTGAAAAGTAAAAAATTCAAAGGGTATAAAGACGGTGAAATAATGAAAGTGGATAAATTCTTTAACTGATTTGGAATATGATTGATTTAAAAGCACGTCATGTGCAAAGAAAATTCAAAAGTTGAAAATAATAATAATAAAAACATGGCGACAAAAACATAATTGAAATGTGAGCCGAAGATAAGTATATAGATATTAGATAATGGACCAAACATAATAATGGAAGCAACGGATAATGGAAAATAATTAAAGTAAGATATAAGTGAAACACGACATAGATATCTTATTGGAACTTAGCATGGTCCAATTATGGACATTTCTATTCAAAACATTATATCCTCAAATTTACTTTTAAAACATTTTAGTTGAACTGAATTTTAAATAAAAACTAAATATGTATAACTTTTAAAAAATCGAAAGAATATAATTTAAAGTGATTTGAAACCAAATAAAAAAAATCAATAAAATTAATTTTTAAAACAATAAATTATATTTATCAACAAAAAATAAATTAAAATCTAATGCAATATAAAAATTTAATTGGTTATAATTTTTCTAAAAAAAATAAGTGAATCGAATCGAAGGTAAAATGAAAATGGACCAGGGAGGAAGTTGGGCTTCACATCATGTACATTTGATATGGACTTCAAACACAATTAACCCCATAATATTTTAAGCAGACCATTGTTGGGTCGGGCCCAATACTGATGAATGGCTCAATAATTGATGATGTTATTGATGGGCTGGGCCTCATAACAAAATCCCAAAATGGTAATAAGCGAGGGAAATAAGGGGTATAATCGGAAATTCGAAAATAAACAACCACCGGGGATTGCCGACACAGTCGCGCTCGGCGTTTTTCGGGGTTTCACGGCGCAGATCCGAGTTTTTGAAGATTCAGAGCTCGTTCTCTCTCTCTCTCGTCACAACAAAAGCCCTAATTTTGTCTCTGTAGTTGTCATCTGTGTTAAATCATCTACATGTAAGTATTCCGTAATCTGTTTGCTGTTTTGCCTTTCTGGATCTTTGCTTTCACTGTTACGATTTTATCCCTTTCCGTGGATTCGATTAGAGTCCCTCGTTTTTGAATTCGAATCTTATGGAGTTTAGTATCTAGTTAATCTAATTTTATTTACGGATGCTTGTAGATCGTGAACACTAGGACTTCGAATCGAGCTGATGATGATAACCGAGTGTCGATCTTAGAATCTTCCGATTTTGATTCTCTTCTCTGTTCATTTCAAGATGTCGAAAGATGAGGAAAACGGTAACACAGTTGAGATTCATCAGAACAATTCAGAAGCCAACAATGTCAAGGTCCAAGAGCATTTGTACAGCGGTTTACTCCATCACGCCTCGGTCTATGGTGTAGCTGCTGGTTACTGCATTTCGGCTTCGCTTCTCTCAATCATCAACAAATGGGCAGTCATGAAATTTCCTTATCCAGGAGCTTTGACTGCGTTGCAGTATTTCTCAAGTGCAGCTGGTGTTTTCCTCTGCGGGCAGATTAAGTTGATCGAGCACGATTCTCTGAATCTTTTAACAATGTGGCGATTTCTTCCCGCAGCCGTTATATTCTACTTATCTCTCTTCACTAATAGCGAGCTTCTCCTCCATGCAAATGTAGATACGTTTATCGTATTTCGTTCAGCCGTTCCTATTTTCGTCGCGATTGGGGAGGCCCTTTTCTTGCACCAGCCATGGCCATCTCTCAAAACATGGGGCTCTCTCGCTACAATATTCGGAGGAAGTGTGCTTTACGTTTTGACGGATTACCAGTTCACGGTTGCAGCTTATAGCTGGGCAGTGGCATATCTGGTAAGCATGACCATAGACTTTGTTTACATCAAGCACGTGGTTATGACGATTGGTCTGGACACATGGGGTCTTGTGTTATACAATAACCTCGAGGCCCTGCTATTGTTCCCCCTCGAGTTGCTTATAATGGGAGAGCTAAAGAGAATAAAGCACGAAATCACTGACGAGTCTGACTGGTACTCGTTCCAAGTGGTTTTGCCAGTTGGGTTGTCGTGTGTTTTCGGCCTGGCCATCTCTTTCTTCGGATTCTCGTGTCGTCGGGCCATTTCTGCCACTGGATTCACTGTTCTTGGCATTGTTAACAAGCTGTTAACGGTGGTGATCAACTTGGTCATTTGGGATAAACATTCAACCATTGTTGGAACCATGGGACTTCTGATTTGTATGTTTGGTGGAGTTATGTATCAGCAGTCCACGAGCAAGAAATCGAAATCTGTTCAAGAGCAGGATGAGGAACAGCAGAAACTGCTCGAAATGCAGAACAAGGAAAGTAACAACTTCGAGAAGGAAGGTTCTGAGTCGGAGGGCAAGCAATGATACATTTACAACAAAGATGTTCAAGATCCGGTCTTATATCCACTGATAAAAAAATTCCATTACTTGAGGCTCCTAATGCATAAACCAGTAGATTCTTGAAGTGGGTCGCTGGCTCGTCATCTCATCCTCTTGAATAATCGGGAGAGGTTGGGAGATGCAACGGCTGAAGTATAATCAAGAAGAACAAGAAATTCTTCCTTTTGGGTACGTTTTGGTTCGATATAAGATCTAATATAGTTAGTGATGATGAATCATTCTTTTGTACCTTGGAGGTAATACTGCCTTCAGATTTTCTTCTTTGCTGTCAAGTATATATTGAAACTGATACAAAAGAGAAAACCTCCCAGTTCCCATTGGTAGAAAAAGATTGTTTCTTTGCTGTTTCAATTGTTTGGGGATTTCTTATTATGAGACACTAAAGACCCCTTAAAATAAATTCGAATAGATTCTTCTTTCACAATGTCCAGAAATTCAAATAAAATCTTCCTTTTTTCCTGAATAAAGTTATCTTCTTCTTCTGTGTATTCTGATGTGCCTATGGTGGTGATGATGATTGATGATGATGGTGATGATAATGATGATGATGATGATGGTGATGATAATATTGTTAAGTTACAGGTTCCGAGGAAAACTTCAAGATGTGATGTTTACACTTTAGGTTATTTGAAGGAGTTCAAAATAACAATGCATCGGCACATTTGTATTTTCTTTTAATAATATATTCCTTTTTTTTCCAGAACTTTAGCTTATTTTTAAGCCAAGTAATAAAAAGATATTTATGTTAATTCCATATTTTCCAAATAGCATAAAAATTGCTAATCAATATCAGCTGGTATTAACTATATAAGAAAAAAAATCACATGATGAGTTTTTTAAATAATATAGAGAAATTTTTACAATAGAAAATAATAATAATAATAATAATAATAATAATGAGGTAAATAATTAACTAGAGAGAAGAATTTGAAAAGCACATGGGCAAAATATAGCCGTTAAGTTCGGGGCACAGAGGAACGCAACTTTTGATCGGGGAGCTTAGGGGGGTTTGATCCAACGGCTGAGATTAAGTAGCCGTTATTTTTAAAAATATTTCTTAAGAAAAACAAAGGGGCACATGCGGACAATATATCCGCTCT